AAAGAGTGGGAACCAAAAGCTGAGGGAATGTAATTCCCAAAGTCTCCTGGGATAGGCAGGACATGGAGCAGCTGCTCCCATGATCATGGACCCCTGATTGCTCCCGACAGTACCCAGTTAGAATATGGTGTTGTAAGCATATTCTTCCTCTTCTCTCCATTTAAACCACAGCAACCCACCAACAAATCCAGGCTGATAATGTAGGAACATCATGGAGGATGCCAACCAGCAAGTTTTCAGGCTGTGCCACTTCACACCTTTACTGATGTAAGTCAGATCATTTCTGTCCTCCTGTTGGTCACACCCACCCATCAAACACTTCCCAGCCAAAAATCTCCTCCAAACAGCACCTACCCCAAACTGCCAGCACCTTCTACACCAACCAACCTGCCAGTCCTCCAGTCCCTCATGATGGAGGCAAGCAGAGCCCACCCTCACCCTTGGCTTACTCTCTAAACCAAGATTTAAGAAGGTCTGTTCCACCAAAGAGGTGCACTTTTAGGGTATAGATACCAAGATTTAAGAAGGTCTGTTCCACCGAAGAGGTGCACTTTTAGGGTGTAGAGGGAGTATGTCTGTCCCAAGCACTTATCAGGCAGCCAATTTATTCAACATAATCCAAAATAAATTTCAAGGTGTTCCAGTACCTGTAGCCAAGCTAGTCCAACTAATGACCTGAAAACCACTTAAGAAATAAACTATTCCCTCTGCTTAGAAAGCAGATTCCCCAGCCTGCACCACTCTGGCCTGGGAGACACAGCTGGTGGGAGAGAGGTAGTGCAGTGTTAGCTGCAGAGTTCATCAGGAGGCAGGGTGGATGGTGCACTGACCATATGTGGATGGTGGCTGACCACTACAGGTGAGAAACCTCTGCCAGCTGATAGGAAGGGAAGCAAATGGGGCTTGGAATGATTTACAATAAAACAAATGGGGCTTGCTTTTCAGTCTCACCAGCAATTCTGGAAGAAGGACTAGCAGCTGAAAACTGCTCAGAAACATGGCCAGGTCCATGGCCCTGAAAACACCTGAGGTCAAGAGGGTTTGCTGCATGAGGAGCTGGCTGACTGACTCACTACTGAGAGATACAGACTCAGGAATACCACCTTTAACAGCCCTTCAGAGACAAATTTAATGACAGTGTACCTGGAGGCACAGCTGCACACAAGGATCACTAGGTCCTTACAAGTCTATGAAGACCTCTGCTTATTCCCTCCCCAGGGAGGAAAGAGAGCAGAGCACAACCAGTCATCCATAACCTCTGCCCTTCTTCATTGAGTCAGGACTGGCAGTGATTCCTCAGAGTGTAAGCCAACTGCCCAGCCACAGAAAGAGCAGGTTCTCTTCCCATCCCAAAGGGCAGCCTGGGCTTGTTGCACAAGCCTTAGATATAGGAAGGACAGGCCACACCGGAGCTACAGGCAAAGTGTACCAAGAGTCAGTAGTGCCTTTTTCTCTTAAAGCAGCATAGTTGGAGATTTCATTGTAGCAGAAGGGGACTAACCCCTTCTCATGTTCATTGCAGAAGCAGAGACCTCAACGGTTTCCTTACCTGCCTGGTCACTGCCACCTCACAGGTACATCAGACGTTTTGAGACTGCACAGCTGAAGAAAGGACTTCCAAGGGGTTGTTGTTTACATTCCTGGCTCCCCAATCAGGTTCAGTGGCTCCACTAATGCATCTCCATTGTGGCCAAGCCCCATTGAGGCATATAATGCATCTCCATTGTGGCCAAGCCCTGTTGAGGCACATAACACCTCCTGTATCAAACACTTCTGCAAGAATCAGGAGACAGATTGCCACAAGACATTAAATCACTTTCCTAAGATAGATGGAGAGATGTCAGAGGCAGGTGGCATGTCCACTGCATACAGGTCTGGGGCCTCTGGGAAGGGCAGGAGAGTACCCACACAACCCCAGGACTCTTGTGGCCAAGCCCTGTTGAGGCACATAACACCTCCTGTATCAAACACTTCTGCAAGAATCAGGAGACAGATTGCCACAAGACATTAAATCACTTTCCTAAGATAGATGGAGAGATGTCAGAGGCAGGTGGCATGTCCACTGCATACAGGTCTGGGGCCTCTGGGAAGGGCAGGAGAGTACCCACACAACCCCAGGACTCCCAGCCACCCTGGGGCCTCTGGGAAGGGCAGGAGAGTGCCCACACATCCTCAGGGCTTCCAGCCACCAGCACCAACCTTATTTTGCAGTCAGAACACCACCCTGCCTCATCAGTGAGGCACCAAAATCCCTAATGTGTGTGAGAGAGGACACAGTAGCTGCATCCAGAGAATCCCAACAGATGAAGTGTCAAATCACCATGGGAAAGTTCACATAAGCAAAGCTGCAGCAGCTGGCAGCTCCTAGGGCATCACTACTGCCAAGTAAAATCCTGTTGGAATTGGCAAGGCAATGAAGAGGAAAGGCATGTAAACAATTTGCAAGTAACTCATACGGATCCTCACACAGGTGTGTTCTCAAGAAAAGACCAAGCAAGCTTGCTAGCAGAGAAGTCCATGTGTTACAAAGAGGTAGTGTCATCCATCAACACTAGGAAATAAACCAGTCAGACTTCAGGAACACTTCACCTGAAGTTGAATTTCAATGTACAAACATTTCTATTCAATGTGTCCAGGACAATGCCAGCTGTCATAGATACATTTCATTAATATAAAAGGACTTAACAACATCTATCTACTAACATGAGGTTGTTAGCATTTCTATTGACAGAAAAAGGTTGCATTTGCTTTTAAAAAATTGTCCTGTATACACAACCATACTCAGTGACATACACAGCTTTAGACTTCAAGCGCACGCTAATTTAGAAAATATATACACTTGTGATGTGCAGATGGACCTTGTATTCATATATAAAATGAACTTTTTAATCCCAAGTGTTTGCTGAGCCTAGACAGCCTTGTATTCATATATAAAATGAACTTTCTAATCCCAAGTGTTTGCCGAGCCTAGACAGCACACACAGAAGTACTTTGCTTTGTCCCTTATTATGATGCACAGTAAGGGAAAGCCTTAATTCCAATTTCACCAAAGTCAGGTATGGAGGAATGATCTCCTCCAAAGCTATTTATTATGATGCACAGTAAGGGAAAGCCTAAATTCCAATTTCACTGAAAGTCAGGTATGGAGGAGTGAACTCCTCCAAAGCTAGCTCTGCTCCAGATGACTGACTCCTCCAGCAGCCTTTGGTAACAGTGGCCTTTAGAGCTTTTTCTGTTAGATGCTCATATTCATAATACAAGGGATGTTCTGCAAACCCAGCTTTGGTAACAGTGGCCTTTAGAGCTTTTTTTCTTTGTTAGACGCTCATATTCATAATACAAGGAATGTTCTGCAAACCCAGCCTGACACCTAGAAACAGTTCTCACAAGCCACTGGCATGCACCAACAGCACAACAAAGCTTTGGCTCCCTGTGCAACACCAGTCTTCAGATTACCCCAAACCACCTCGGTGACCTCTGTGCCCTGGCTGGTGTGACACAGGAGCAGTCAGTGTACTGGCAGTGCGTAACATTCACCCGGTACCCAAAGGACCATATGGGACTCCTAACCCTCAACTATGCTATTTCTGCAGGTCCTTCAGCCACAGGAGGCGATGGCATCTTCTTTACGTCACTTCTCAGTGACAAGGCTCTGAATACTCACAAAGGGAGAAGGTCCCACGTTTCAGAGCGGCTTCACATTTTTGCTAGACACAGATGAGCGGGAGAGCCCTGAGGGCTGAAGGGGCTCTCTGTGTATTTGAAGGTGTGGACTTGTGATCACTCAGAGAGTTGGCCACGAGCATGAGATGACAAACTGGGAATTCTGGGGTCACTTGCAACAAAGCACATGAAGAGTCATTGAAAGCCATATCATCTGTGCACCAGTCTCAAAAAGTTATTATTTGCCTGACCCAGACAGAAGAGCAGATTTACAGATCTGTCACCTGAAGATGACAGAACTACTTGGTACTCTTTGTGGCAGCAGTAAGACTATAATGAAAGCTACTATTTCTCAGGGACAAAACTCCCACCAATGTCAAAGGGAGCAAGCCTGTAACTATGTTCCCATCCCTTCTTACTGTAAATATTTGCCAATTTAGGGAAGAAAACTTACCTATGTATTTCAGTGTTTCTAACTGTTCTGTCAAGAGGAACACGTAGCTCTGAGGTTATAACACCTCCCCTCTCACTACCAGCATTCAGGTCATCATCTGTTTCATACAGTCCCTCTGCTGGCAAAACAAGGGAGGCCAGGACACTGATGAGACAGGCAGAGTCCAGGTGATGGACAAGAAACAGTGAAGTCCCAGTCCTTCACTTTCTGGATGCATCATTTAAAGCAATGACTCTTTTCTAGGGCACTTGGCAAAGCTTCTGCCACGACTCCACCAACGCTGGTGCTCTAGTCTTCAACTGAGTGACTTCTATCACAGCATCTTTCTGTTATACATCAGAACCAAATTGTACAAGAAAATCATAAAAGAGAAAGATGGTAGTCACAATTTCTGGTAAAAGCATTGCTCTGCCCTTCTAATTTTACCCTCTTTCTCTGTCATTTCCCTTAGATGAGGGCATTTCTGCTGTGGGGTCTGAGGAGGATGCACATCACTCTGGGGTTGCATAAAGAACTGCTATCAGTAACCTGCTGCAACACAATTAAAACCATGATTGAAATGAACAATAAATAAAGTGAAAGACATACGGGTTTTAAATATAGGTTTCCATTAAAAGCATTACAAAGACAACTTCTCATATGTCAGAAACAAAGAAAAAAAATCCACTTCTACTAAAAAAAAAGAAAAAAGATTTAAAAATCACCCCTTTGCAAGTAACTTTAATGAGGAAAGGTGCAGGGAAGGGAGGGAGAGAGGACTTGGAGAACTAGCAAGTGTTCAAAAGGGCAGATGCCCTCCCATCTTGGTCATTTTGCAATGGCACCTTCTTCTCACACAGTCAGGTCAGAGAGCCACAGAGTCCTCACGTGGAGGATTTCACCACTTGCTCATAGGGAGGAGGTGGTGTGTTGCAGTAGGAAGGTGGGGGTGGGTAAACCGGGTTTCCTTGTGGGGAATTGGGCTGGACGTGGAAAGCCATCGCCATGGGATTCATCACAGGTCCACCTGGATCTGTGTAATACGGCACTCCAGGTTGTTGTGACCCTGAAAGAAAGAAAAGGAGAGAAAAGGCATCAGCAACAGCAGTAGCATCAACCCTCTCCAAAGGCCTGTGCTCTGCACACCCAGGCAAGTTTTTTTCCAAGTGTTCATCAGAGCAAAGACAAGGAGCCACCTTCTTCCCTTCCAGAGAAAACCCAGGCTTGCAGGGCTACATTCTCTTCTTCAGAGCTCATCAAAAAGTGTCAATTTTTGCATGCAATGGAAATCACCTAGCGAAACAAAGAGCACCACTGTCCCAAGCAACGACCATTTGAAAGAGAACACAGTGAGCCCTGTTCAGTTCCCCTGATAGAAAAGCTGCTATGTCTGCAGAAAGGAGAGGTGTGGGATCCCAGACGGATAAAGGAGTTTCTACTGTGGCTCTGACTCAGGTGTCAAGTCTTAGAAAGGACTTAACAGATTATTTTGCGGTGTACTGGATCTGCCAGAGTGCATCTGATAAAGATCCTTTTCCTTCTAGGCACGATACATCTTAGAAGCAAAGCCATATGAAGCAAAAAGCCAAGTTGAAGTCAATTATGGCTGGCTAACACAATGAGACAAGATTGCTTTGCACAGACTAAATTTAGGAAACTACGTCGGAGCCTGCAGGGACAAGGAAAGGAAATGTGTGATCAAACACAAAATTCCTTGACACATGAGGAGTACCAGAAACTGCTGCCATGAGGAACAAAAGTGGTGCACCCTCCTCAGATATCACGGTGGGTCGTGGAAGATGATTTAATGCTATTGAAGTCACAAACAGTCTCTATCTCAAGATGTAAATTAGTTTTCTTCTCTTTCTGTCTATTTAAATAAAAATGGACTGGAAAAAAAAAAAGAAGTTATGGCTTTCTTCTTTTGGTGCTAGTCTGTTTTTCCTACGATGATACAGCCTCTAAGGGATCTTCCCCTCAGTCATTCCTTTCCATGACTTACTGACACTAGGACTCAGTATTGCCACAGAAGGAATACAGGCTCCTTGAAGCTTCATCCCTAAGTACTTCGAGAATTCAGGAACATACCAAACCCCAAAACATGTTCTTAAAATATTAAATCAGATAAAGAACGGGGATACAAACTGTCCCAGAGCATGGGATGCCTGCCAAGGGAGCTGTATTTGGACACTCAGGAGGAAAGAGGACAGAAAGCAGATCAGGAATGCAGCTGTTTTCTTCTTAACACAGTAACCTTTAACGCACCACCACAATGTTTTTCCCTTTTACCTGTGTGAGTGAAGAGGCTCTGCAGCCTCCCTGCCTTTGCTGCAGCAGTGAGTAGCCCATGCTCTGCACCCATCTATAGTATCAGCACATGCCTGCAGGAGAGCCAGCCTGGGCACAGGAGACAAGTCCTACCTCTCCAAAGTTTGGGCTAATAACCTCTTCTGTAGCCTTTATTCTTACACATTTTTTTATGAAATGGACAGTTAAATCCCACCCAGCTCTGCATTTCTTATTTCCATCTGTATGGGGAAATGGGAGAGGCTGAGGTAGCTCACTGAAGTTTGCTCTTCAGGAAAGTAACCATTTTCATTGAAACTTACGTGTATTATTGAAACTTGTGGGGGCAGGGGAGGGGAGGCAAGTGTGGACATCAATCTTTTAGTTCATTAAGCCCAGCAGAAAACAACACCTGAATATCAATGTCCTTGTGGGATCAGCTCAGTAAGCATTTGATAAGTGACTACAAAGGGACCTGATCATTGCCAGCATCTGAACTGCCACTTTGAAGACCTGTTAGTATCCCTCACTTCAGCCCTGGCCTACATAGCCCCAAACTTCTTCTTGTAGGTCAGTTGTTCAATCCATTTTCCCAATCAGGCCCACAGAAAAAGCACTCCCAGAGCAGATGCTGCTGGGATGGCAGAAGATGCTGCCACTATCTCCACAGGGAAGGTGGAAGATGGGCAATGAGACATGTTTTAAGGGCTCTGACTCAACAATGAACTGCTAACCAAGTTTGGAAGAGTAGCTAGCAGAAAACAGAACTTGATTGACTACTAATTCCCATTGCTTTTGCTGTAGAATATTCCTACAATAGTAGAAAAATGAAAAATAAAAAATAAATTTAAAAAATTGGTTATCTCAGAGCCCAAAGATTTAAGTAACAGTAAAACCAGTCCAGAAGCAGGTGGCATAAGCAGATCATCTAAGAGCTTGTGCTTATTTTATATTTACCCACAATTTGTGTTCCATGAAGCATCATGAAAAACTAAAACTGTGCTCTAAAATTAAATCCAGTGTTTACCAACCCAGCCAAAGACTGCCTGTTCACATAATCTCAAGGCTATTTTTCAGGATTAAAAATACTAGTTTAGTTATATTGGCTCCCCCCCAACTGAAAAATAAATACTCTCTGTTCAGTCAAGGAGAAAAACAGATGCAGAATGGTAGCTCTAAAAAACTCTCTTAGGATTTAAACAAAGAGGGTGAATAAAGTGTCAGTTTGTGTTTGTAACATCTTTTTAAACATTTAGACCTGAGAGTGGGGGAATGCAAGTGTATGAGTACATGCCTAAGGATGCAAGAGCATTTCCAATGTCTGCACAAGGCAAGTGGGTGTGCAGTAGCTGGAATTACAGGAGAGAGAGCCCAAATGCTGCACCTCTGCACAACACTCACAGCCACAGCTGGCTAGAGGGGCTTTACAACTCTTTTCTAAACAGGCTGTCTTGATGCAGCCACAGCATTGCACAGAGATGTAATAGCTGAGGAGATAGAGAGGTTTTAGACACCAAATCTTTAGAGATCCTCCTCCTCATTACAAAATATTCAGTTGTATTTCCACTTCCAAGCCAGTATGACACAAAAACAAGTTGCCAATTAAAAAAAAAAATTGTCAGAAGAGATAATTACCCTCTGGCTTCAGTGCTCTCTGATACAACATGCAATGCAATGACAGCCCAGGAGGAAAGGTGCCTGTGTAGCAAGTGTGCCTGCAAACGTGTGTACTTTCACATTAGCACTGGCTTATGCAATCTGTAGAGCAGCTAAAAATGTCTCAGGTTGGCCTTGCTGAGGCAGGGAGAAAGAAAGCATCAGGGTGTGCACTCAGATAAAATCTCAGCACTGTAGAAGCTCTTACAGCTAGAGACAGTCACATTTAAAATAAGGCACAAACAGCTTCTGCTACAGGTGAGTCATATTCTGAGGGATTCTCCCAACTGGAACTATCTAACAAATTACAAACTTAGAAAGCAGTGTTGCCAGAGGAGCCCTCGCTAGGTAGATCCTCCTGATGCTCACAGCCATTACTGACTAGAGACAGTAATCAGACTAACAAGGGGAGAAGGACCACTTTGCCACAGAAAAACTGTAACACAGAGCACTGGAGGCAAATCAAAAAGATTTGCAAGACAGATTGTGGAAGAAAATGCTAGGCTTTCCTTCACCTCTGCCAGATGTTATCAACTGTATTTAAAATTATTTCTTCTTGTTACTATTAATTTTGGATACCTATCATTCTGTCTGTGCTACACACTTGCTAGCCTCTTCCATGCACGGACACATAGCTGTAAAGGTATTAGGAACCAACACAGAAGGAAACAAAGCCTTGTCATCCTGGGTTTCAAAACCACTTTGTACACTGCAGCTGAATTATGTTCCTTGAAAGGCTGAAGACATCACCCATCACAGAAGGTGCTTGCATGGCTTAATGCAGTGCAATCCCTTGTACAAATCCCAGAGTTTCCAAAAACCAACCAACCAAAAGCTCAAAACCCACCCTTTAAAAATGGCTTGGCAAAGGTAAGAAACTAGTGAAACTTGTATAACGAGCAGTCTCTGACCTGATGCAGTGTTGACTGGTTGTCTGGTGTAAGACACATTAAAAGTAGGTTCTTCTACTAATGGAGGAGGGTACATCCGCCTTCGGATAAAGAAACCAGCTCCACAACAGAACAAAACTCCCATCATCAAAAGGAACCTAGGCAAAAAGAAGAGGGAAGTCAAAATCCACCCACATTCAGGTAGCTCTCAAACCCAGACAGTTCATTGAGAATACTCTACATCAGCCCACAACTTCTATCAGGGTTTCTTGAGAGCAGGTATGTCACTTGAGACAGCACTCACAGGGCACTTATGGATGTGTTAGGGACATCTTTAGTGATTACTACTATTATTGATGTTCTCTGGCATGCAAAATACAAATTTAAAACTAAAACACCCTTGAACTTTTTGAAAGTTCAGGTTCATACCTGACCTTTGCTACTGGGATACTGAACTGAAATTCCAGGTCAGTACAGATTCAAACTGTGCATCTTGGATGTAGGCCTCAGGCTTACAGCATCTAGGCTGGTCAGGAGGTTCATGGGGGACAAAGTTGCTATTAAAAGAAGACTCTTAGATGTTTTTAAATCATCCAAGACTGTAATTTTGTCTCCTGTGGGAAATATGGTAGCTGGTATTTAAGAACAAGCCAGAAGACTGAAGCATTCAGCACCCATGATGACAAGCTTTGCTTTGTGCTTCCTAGATGGGATATTTACATTCTCAAGGCAAAGAACAGCAAGGCTTCAGTTGTCAGCTCCTTTTCTGACCTAATTAAACTGTCCTCATCATTCCCTTGCTCTGGTGCTGTGGAAACAGGAACATGCAGCAAAGGCACATCAGATTTTGTTCTTCAGACAGTGGCTTTCACTGTTTCCTTGATTAGTTATCCGATGTGCTAGTGACTCATGCAAGCTCTTGTAAATACAAATGGTTCTTCTGCCTGTAATTGCCATCTCATTTCATGGCCCCTTATTGGAAGACAATGATAACTGTGCTTTTTTGGAAGGGCAGTCACTTGGCCAGAGGTTATCTCCTCTGGAGAATTCCCAGGCACCTGAGATGAAGAGTATGGCACTGCATGGCAGTGAGAGTTATTTCATGCAAAGAGTCAAACTCTGTTCTTGTTTCTGCATTAGAAATGAGAGCAGAAGGAGGTCCTGTTTCCCTGAGCCAATATTAATACATTCCCCTTTGGCAGTGTTCCTGCAAAGGATTTGTTCTTAACTGAAAAACAGAGATTTACGACGTCACCCCAGGGATTGAGATACAGAGCTCTTCAGTTATATCAGTACGGATTGTACACTGAAATCCCAGTCAGCTTTGGGAAATCTCTGTATTCTAGTATATTTCAAGCTTCTTTTTCAGTGTTTATTTGTTTTAATTTTTAAGGCCTTTTTTTTTTTTAATCAGTCTTCAAATTCTACTAAAAAATGCCTGAAATCAGGGTTTTTAGGAGAGCATTTGCTTTCTCTCTACTGTAATGGGAAGGTTTTATTCAGGTGCTTTCTTAAATTCCACTCCAAATGGAATTTACCTTATTTTTTCATTATGCATATAACGGTGCTTAGTTAAGCTTTATCCAGATTACAGAGCTGCTGGTTTCACATGCTCAAATCATGCTACCTTCTTTTCCCTTGCCGTCATCTCCAGTGAAATCCTCATAGTCATAAATGTACTTCTCTTCCTTTTAATTGAAGCCTCAATTCAGCTGGCAAGAAGGTATTAAACCCTGCCTAAAAGCACAATCGTCCTTATACAATCCTCTTTTAAAACTGAGTGCCCAACAGAAATGGATGAATGCTGCCACGTGGCAGTAGCTGGGACAGGCATAAAGAATTCAGCAATTTTGGATAATAGTGGGACCACTGGTTGTACAGACTAGCAGGAAAGGTCAACGTGACACCAGCAACCTCCTTTTTCAGTGTTTTCTCACTACTTATAAGCAAAAAACCAAAGCCCTTGCATTGATATGTACACATACACTTTGCTGCATACTCACATGTACTTTACTTTAAAGTACTTGAACTGGTAATACCCTAATTTAAATCCTACAACAGAGACAAGAAGAGGACAAACATAAAATTCCCAAATGCCCTGACGTACCAAAAATACCATAGTCGCTGGATAGATAGAGCTCTTACACAGCATCTTGAACCACAGCAATCCTCATAGGAGCGACATCTGCAGAGAAATTAAGAGACAGGGACGTTAGGTGTGTAGTTGTGTCACTCATGAAAATGGCATTCCCAACCATAACTATCCTTATTTCCAACCATTCACACTGCTGCCTGAAGCATCATTTACGACACTCCCGTGAGCCTAGGCAGCAAAGTTCCACAAAAATGTTCAAGGCCAGGTTGGATGTGGCTTGGAGCACCCTGGTCTAGTGGAAAGTCCCCTTCCCATGGCAGGAGGGTTGGGCTAGATGATTCTTAAAGGTCCCTTCCAACCCAAACTATTCATTGGGTCTATGAATAAGAATAGACTACCCTTGGCTGGATAAAGTTGTCACATCTGTGGAACAGCTCTATCACTATTCAAAACCTTTTTGCATGTTATTGAATCTACCTTCCTATATACTTAATCTGAAACCACTTCAAAAAGACTGAATGTAGTGTTCAAGTCTATATTTAAAAAAGGACATATTATAAAGAAAAGGAGTATTTCTGTGTTTTCTTTCACAGTAAATGAACACTGCAGACCTCAAACATGAGATATTTGAGGTTTTATTCACTGCAACAGACAAGAATTGTCAGGACAAACCTGCCAGATCACCCATTCTTTGCAAATCAGTAGCTTACAAGCAGAGAAGACACTGACTGCAGAGAAAACTTCAAGTGTACAGTTATTTGCAAACATAACACCCTTTATTGCTTCTCAGAAGTTGCACTGGACTACACCTGCCAACAACTCCCACTATTAAAGCAGGCTTTGCTCTAAAAATCCCCCACATTTCAAATTGATTTTTCATATGGACTAGAACCATTTTAAAGGTATTACAGCACCAGCCACTGTAAGCACAAGGTACCACTTCACTAAAGCCAGCACATACATTAACAGCAACCTCTGAACACTTTGTATGATAACTGTCATTTTTCCACACCAATGAAACATGTTTAGTAGGGAAAAGGACCAAGGTAATATAGAAAATACAGTCTATGACAGACCCGGATGAAAATATGCAGATTAGCACATCCACATACCAAAAGAAAAGTGGAGGTGACCACAACTGGATTGATCTTTCTAAGGATGTTCTCATCTCTGTGCTCACTGCATATACTTATTTAAGCATCTGATCTTGGAAAATTTGCTCAGTTGCATGACTGCTCCTGTATTTGTATGCAAACTAAAAAAATCTCAATTGAATAATTGCACAGACAATTACACATTTACATGCTCAATTAACAAGCCTTCACTCACAAAATACATTAAATCACACAGGCTTCAGCCTCTAATTGGGACCAGAGGAGGATGCTCTGTGGATACATAATCAGTTGTTTTGCAAGTGAAAACAGTTACATGCTCTTCTGATGACAAATAAGCAGGATTTATTTAAGCAAGCCGGAGGATCTCGCACAATCAGTATGACAAGGTTCATTAATAGACTCAGGCACGCAGTTTGAGGCTCAGGCAGAGGAAGTTGCTCAAGCCAAAAGAGAAAACACCCACTGTCACACACTGCTGTCACTGAACCTGAAAGTGACCCATCTCCAATTTGTCTTCTTTCAAGCTTGCCACAACTGCTCATACTCAAAGCTGCCAGACCTCACAAAACTACTAACAAGATTTAGCAAGTCAGCATTAACTTCAGTTCTATTGGGACCAAGAAATTAAGCATTCCTCCATGCTCCATCAGTGGATCAACCCAACAGGAGCTTTCAAGACATATGTTAAATGCATGGACAGATTCAGGTCCCTTACAAAATGGGCTGGAAGCTCCTGCCTTCTGTTAAACCAGTGTGCATGGTACCCTTTTGCTCTTCAAGATGTTTTTGGTTGGAGTACATAATCCATATTGATGGGCACTTGACCTCTTGGCTGATGCTGCTCAGCATGGACTTTGTTGGGCCAGAAAAGCAAAGAAGGAACAGAGCCCGTAAATCTAGAAGCCCTTCTTGAGGCCATTAAGACAAAAATAAAACAAAGGGTTTCAGATATGTGAGCCGTTTATCTGCCTCCACACACTGGCTCTGTCAGCCCAGACACCGACACCTGACCACACGCAGGATGGGGAGTAGATGTAGATGCACCACTTCCCAGATCCCCAAGAGCTTAACTGTAATAAAATTAAAATTAAAGGAGAAAGGCCATGGAAGCTGCATGTACACCTCTCCCATGCCCACCCTTGCCTTATTTGTTTTGCATCTGTTTTCTCCAGAGCCAGAAGCTATTTTAAAATAGATAATTATGGTCATTCAAGCCACCGAAATTTAAAGGAGGATCTGCACAAAGAGTATAGTACCCGAATTTACTTTTTATTTTTAATCTTTACATTATCTAGACTACAAGTCAGCATCATTTTTAAAGCCACAATGCCTTAGCTTTTATTCCTGCAAAAGAAGATTAAAGCACCAGCTGGAAGTCAGAAAGGCTACACTGCTGAATGTTTACAAAGCTCCTGAGACAACTGAATGGCAATCAAACAGGCCATCAAAGAGAAGTTTCATCTCCTACATGGATGAGTGTACTTTCTTTCAAATGGTTGAAAAGAATGATGCAAAAGGATGGAAGAATCATTTTCTGATAGTCAGTAAGCTTTCTGAGGTAACTCATCCAAGGCTAAGCACTGCATTTGCTGGGTGGATCTGTGAAGGTAAGTCAGAATCACAACTCAGAAGGAAAACCCTTTGAGATCTGACACTAGTAACTTTATCACTATTTACCCTTAAACCAAACAGGTACTTTACTTTGTGTGCCTGTGAGAATGGACTTGTGTACCCATGTGTAGGAGCCCAGAATCAAGGATGACACCATGATGACACCCTGCTGTTTGTATTCCCCACTGCTTCATAGCAGTGTCAAAAAAGACTGGAAGAACAAACAGCCCATTTGCTGATACAGCCATCAGGGTACAGCAAAGGCTCTGTTGATCTCTTATTCTTGATTGAATGTGCTATGAAAACACAACACAGCTTCTGACAGTATCGATCCCAGTTACATGACAATGAACTTACAAAAAGCAGATTTATTAGCAAAGAAAAGACAACAATAAAATCAGCCTATGAATGGAGCAACATACAAGCTTAAGTATAATCAGTCTTCGATATACTACCTCTTACTGCCTGACAGCAAATCCCAGCAGAATAAGACCCTGGTTCACTAATAAAAACATGATATTTAAGCATAATCACATATATTTATTGAATTGATACGCATTTTCTTTAAATTACACTTGTGTTTTGGCTCTGCTATACAGAGAAGGACTAGCTGTGCCCAATGCCAGTTGAAGAATGAGACTTGCTCTTGATATGAACTGGATCAAACCCATCTCATACAGAAGATTTTTCTAAAGCCAATTTCACTTTTTCAAACATTAGTGATGACCCCGAAAACTGCATTTCCCTAGGGCAATGCTTGTTTGATCGATCAAAAGTTAACCCATTTCATAGTATAAGATATAATCCATTAGTTGCTTGGCTAATCAGAAACTTCACTAAGCATACAGTCTCTCCTTGAAAACTATCTGCAATATGAGTTATGATTTAGTAGTTATATCTTTTCATTTGCAATTCAGTAGAGTGAAAGGACTGTATCTGCATGTGCAACAACTTGTACTGCTAGCACACCAAGGGACTGCTGTGTCACAAATCAAATTTACAGAGCACGTCAGGTCACAGGGACAAGGTTTTCCTATGCATTCACACTTAAATCATGATGCTGAATTTCCTCCCTTAATGAACAAGTGAAGCATAAAGTTTCACATCAGGGTATACAGTATGACTCAAACCCTACAAACCAGCTCAATACTTACATGTGTTCTGTGGAGAATAGCTGCTCAGTAAAAAGGCCCAATAGCTCTTCTCCATTTATACCTGCATCTACATAGTTGAACAAGTCCCTTTTTAGTAGAATCATAGAATCAACTGGGTTGGAAAAGACATCAAAGATCATTGAGTCTAACACTACTGTGGTTACTAGACCATGGTACTAAGTTGCTTTAAAGCATTTCCCAAATATTAAAAAAATTAAAAGTTCAAAATATAGTGGAAGATTATAAAGAAAAAACAAACTTCATGCCCTCCATCTCTTGTTCAGCAACAGCTGCTATTCCAACCCTGGATTCTAATTATCTTTGATAGACATACTCATAGAACCATCCAGGTTGGAAGAGACCTCAAAGATCATCAAGTCCAACTCTACCATGGTTACTAGACCATGGTACTAAGTTGCTTTAAAGCATTTCCCAAATATTAAAAAAATTAAAAGTTCAAAATATAGTGGAAGATTATAAAGAAAAAACAAACTTCATGCCCTCCATCTCTTGTTCAGCAACAGCTGCTATTCCAACCCTGGATTCTAATTATCTTTGATAGACATACTCATAGAACCATCCAGGTTGGAAGAGA